GTGGCTGGATAACCACACTTCTGGTAACATGGGGGTGCGGCCTAATGTGCTAATGAGCTGTGCTGGCAGGGGTGTGGCCTAATATGCTAATGAGTTTCTGGTGTTGGGTGTGGCCTATTATGCTAATGAGTTCCTGCTGGGCTTTCTCTACAAAAGGAGCCCTGTCTGTTTTACATGTGTAATCATTTTGCTTCCCCATTACGCTTCTTTATCTGTTCCCTTACTGCCGTCAGTCACCTTCCTAGCCTGCTACTTGACTCTGAAGAACTTTCTCTGGTCTGGCAGGTGGCATTCCAGGAGGCGATAGCACAGACCACTGAGGCCGGCCAGACTCCAGCCGATGTCAGGCAGAAGCAGCTGGACAGAGAGACCAAGTGGGAAGAGGACAGGGAGGCCCATCTGTTGGGTAAGTGGAGATGCCTCGGAACTGTGGGAGACACTGAAATTCATGCCAAGACTCGCCTTTGCTATCCGGGCTCTTTTTGCAGCAGGTACTCTTTTGCATATTAAGCGACACACCCCTAATGTAGCCAATCCTCCAAGAGTTTACAGTAGCTCCTGTAAGAAGAGCTCTGTAAGCTCTTGGAGGATTGGCTACATTAGGGGTGTGTGGCCTAATATGCAAAGGAGTTCCTGCTACAAAAAGAGCCCTATAAGGAGCTCAGCATCTGCCGGGAGTCCCCTCTGCCTTTGACATCTTAGGGGAAAGTATGACGAATGACTCAAAAGCATTCCCACCTCTATATCTTCAGCCTTCGAAAATCATGCACAGGGTAGAGAAAGCGGACAAAGTCCGGGAGTTTTCAGTTTAGAAAACAGACGATTAAGGGGGAGGACATGACATGGGGTGGAGAGAGTTGACAAAGAGATTTTTTCCTCCCTCTCCCAAAATACTGGAACTCAGGGGCATCCAAGGAAGCTGATGGGCAGTAGGTTCAGGACGGACAAAAGGAAATACGCAGAGAATGATCAAAATGTGGAATTTGCTGCCAGAGGATGTAGTGATGACCTCAGGAATAAACAGTTTTGAAAGGGGATTAGATAGATTCATGGAGGATAAGTCTATCAAGATAGATTCATGGAGGATAAGTCTATCAGTGGCTCCTAGCCATGGTGGCTGAGGGGAACCTCCACATTCAGAGGCACTAATCCTCTGACTTTCACAGGCAGGAGGCAACTTCAGGGGAATAGATAGGGGTATAGATAGGGGCTCTGGGGCAAGTGTTGCTCTGTCTTCTTGGTGCTTGGGGGGGTCAACAGTGGGAGGGCTTCTAATGTCCTGGCCCCACTTGTGGACCTCCTGATGGCACTGGTATTTTTGGCCACTGTGTGACAGAGTGCTGGACTGGGTGGGCCATTGGCCTGATCCAACATTGGCTTCTCTTATGTTCTTATGTGGAATTCCCTGCCAGATAATGTAGTGGTGGCCACAGGAATTAACAACTTTAAAAGGGGATTAGATAGATTCATAGAGGAAAAGTCTATCAGTTGCTACTAGCCATGGTGACTGAAGGGGAACCTCCACATTCAGAGTCACTAATTCTCTGAATCCCAGAGCAAGGAGGCAACTTCAGGGGAAGGCCTCGGCCTCTGTGTCCTGTTGTTGGTCATCCAGAGGAACTGTTTTTGGCCACTGTGTGAGACAGAATGCTGGACACAATGGACTATTGGTCTCATCCAGCAGGGCTCGTTCTATATTCTTATGACAGAGAGAACTTTCTCTCCCAAAATATTAGAACTCAAAGGCATCCAATGAACTTAGTGGACAATAGATTCAGAACAGACAAAGGGAAATACTTCTTTACGCAATGAGTGATTAAAATGTAGAATTTGCTGCATTTGCTACAGCCGCTGATGTAGTGATGGCCACAGGCACAGACAGCTTTAACAGGGGATTAGACAGATTCATGGAGAAGTCAATCAGCGGCTACTGACCAGGGTGACTAAAGGGAGCCACCACATCCAGAGGCAGTAAACTTCTGAATACCAGTGCCAGGGACAGCTTCAGGGGAAGACCTCAACCTCCGTGCCCTGTTTACTATTGCTCAGGGCTTTTTTTGTAGAAAAAGCCCAGCAGGAACGCATTAGCATAATAAGGCATACCCAACAGCAGAAGCTCATTAGCATATTAGGCCACACCCCTGATAGTACAGCTCATTAGCATATTAGGCCATACCCTCATGTTGCCAGAAGTGTGCTCATCCAGCCATACCCACCTTTTGCTTCTTATTCTGTTTACCTTGTTTGTTGTCCAAACCCAGGGGTTTTTTTGTAGCAGGAACTCCATTGCATGTTAGGCCACACACCCCTGATGTAGCCAATTCCAATGAGTGTCTGCTGTTGGGTGTGGCCTGTTATGCTAATGAGTTCCTGCTGGGCGTGGCCAACTCTGGAGCCAGCTGGAACTCCGTTCCGGTGCGTTCCTGCCCAAAAATAGCCCTGATCCAGAGGCAGTAAACTTCTGAATACCAGTGCCAGGGATAGCTTCAGGGGAGGACCTCAACCTCCGTGCCCTGTTTACTATTGCTCTGATCCAGCAGGGCTCACATTCTTATGGGAGGTCGGAGGCATAGCATCCTTGTTTATCCTATGCAGCAGGTCCTTCCAAAAGGCAGCAAAAAAAAAAAAAGCATCTCTATAGAGGCCTGTGACCCACCTAAATTAACCCCCCCCACACACATTTTCGTCTTGTTCTGTTTATTTATGGTTTTCCTCTCACAGGTGGAAGCATCACAGCTAGGATATTTGAGAGCATTCCGTGACATCTAATTTGTAGGTTTCAGACTAATATTGGACAGACTTTTGCTTATTTTATGTAAGAGAATTCTTGTCGATGTTTAAACATTATTTAGGGTGATATAATGAGAATGAGATTCTTGTGGGTTTATTTCCTTTGCCCAAAGCTAATATTCTCATGAATCCGGTATATATCTTAATGCCCTTGATATACCTTCTTCCCCCACAGAGCTCTATTTCCACAAAGTTTTTGAGGCAAGTAAATGCTGTGTTTTTCCTCTATATCATTGGTTTTTTAAAAATTATTTAATTTTATTGAATGTAATGAATTATATAAAGGCAATTACAATGATAGAGGATCATATAGCTGGTGGGAATGTCCAGAGATCAGATCCTCTATCATTGTAATTGTCTTTATATTGTATTTGTCCACTTCCGTTTTCCTCTTGCCCAAGGAACAAGTTGTTTGGGATTCTCTCGTTATTTCTCCAGCAGCCCAAGAGTGGATGGCCATCGGTGATGGGGGGAAATATGTGCCTGGAAATTCAGAGCAAATGGCACTACATGGGATATCCACTTGGAAAGAAGAGAATATTTCTCAGTGTTGCAAGCAGGAAAATGTCTCAGCAAGTCAGGAGAGGGCAGAGTATCAGCCAGGAAACCCACCTGAGGGAGGATGTAGATGAATCCCTTCCCTGTGGGGGAGATTGCAGGTTCCCCAATGAAACCACAGTCCAGACAGGAGCTGACACAGGTAAGGAACAAAATGTTTGCATGTAGGTAGACTGGGTGGGTTTTGGCCACTGTGTGACGCAGAGTGTTGGACTGGATAGGCCATTGGCCTGATCCATCATGGCTTCTCTTATGTTCTTATGAATCAGAATGCGGCCTATAAGAAAAACACACACACACACATATACAGCTGTCTGGTCTGTCCTTGGGAACAATCCTAAGGCTAAGCAGGTCTATGTGGAAAGAAGTCCTATTATATTCAGTGCTGCTTACTCGCAGGAAAGCATTTGTAGTCTTTCAGCTGCTGTGGCTTGAAGCTTAGCATTAGATGACCCAACCTGAAGAGGAGCCATTATTTCTACAAAAAAAGCCCTGTTGGGAACAATCCTAAGGCTAAGCAGGTCTATGTGGAAAGAAGTCCTATTATATTCAGTGCTGCTTACTCGCAGGAAAGCATTTGTAGTCTTTCAGCTGCTGTGGCTTGAAGCTTAGCATTAGATGACTCAACCTGAAGAGGAGCCATATCAAACTCCATTGTAGGAAGACATTCATTAGCAGGTCTACTTTTAACCAACACCAGACAAGTCACATAGGACAGTGGGACGTTCTTTGTCTACAGACTTTGTGAGGAGAAGAAGAGGAAGAGGAGGAGGAGGAGGAGGAAGAAGATTGGATTTATACCCCACCCTTCACTCAGAATCTCAGAGCAGACATAACAGACACCCTGTGTGGTAGGTGGGGCTGTGAGAGCTCTTTGAGAACTGCTCTTGAGAGAACAGCTCTGAGAGAACTGTGGCTTGGCCAAGGTCACCCAGCAGCTGCATGTGGAGGAGTGAGAAATCAAACCCGGTTCTCCCAGATTAGCGTCTGCGCTCCTGACCACTACACCAAACTGTGCAAAGTGGAGAAGTTTCAGAATGATCTTTCTTTCTTTCTTTCTTTCTTTCTTTCTTTCTTTCTTTCTTTCTTTCTTTCTTTCTTTCTTTCTTTCTTTCGCACAAGTAGAAAAGAGCAAAGGTCCAGTAGCACCTTAAAGACTGACAAAAATTGTGGCAGGGTATGAGCTTTTTGTGAGTCACTGCTCACTTCTTTAGATACTTCTTCATCAGGTATCTGAAGAAGTGAGCAATGACTGATCCAACATGGCTTCTGTTATGTTCTTATGAGTAGATCAGATCTCAATGTTCCTTTTACACTACAGTAACTGGAATCAGTAGTAATGTCAGCTTGGTAAACACACCTCTTCCACCGCACAAGGGCTAGTAACCTTTGAAGTAAAAATGTTAATGGAGAGATAAGGAACAGAGAGAATCACTCTGTAGGAGGGCCTGGCCAATGAGGAGGAAACAGGGATGCCCACACAATGTATAGGAGGGATTGCAATTTATAGGAGGAATGGATTTAAAGTTTTGCTTCTCTAATCGGTACTTACCACGTTTCTCTCTTTATTCCAGCAGGTTGTAGGGGGAAGAGTGAAAATGAGAGCGTGCCATGTGGGTTACCATCAGAACAAGTCAAATGTGAACAGCTGAAAGAGAACTTCTCGGATCAAAGTGGACCACAAAGCCAGGAGGAGGACCATGTGGAGAAGAGGACAGAGTCATCCATTTCTTGTCGGGTTGGGGACGTCCACGAAATCACAGTCCAGCAAATGGAAGAAAGAAATGACTTCATTGGTGCTCAGTGGAGAATCCACATGGAACTTCCAGAATGCGGGATGCTCAGCACAGGAAAGAAACCATATCAATGCCTGGAATGTGGCAAGAGCTTCAATCGCAGTTCAACGCTTAGGTCCCATCAGCGACTCCACACAGGGGACAAACCTTTCGAATGCTTGGAGTGCGGCAAGAGTTTGTGTGATAAGTCAAGCCTTATTCAACATCAACGAATCCACACAGGGGAAAAACCGTATAAGTGCTTGGAATGTGGGAAAAGCTTCATTCAGAGCTCAAAGTTAACTCGACATCAAAGGATGCACACAGGAGAGAAAGTGCATAGCTGTTCGTACTGTGCCAAGAGTTTTAGTGATAAATCAAGCCTTATTCAACATCAACGGATCCACACAGGGGAAAAACCATATAAGTGCTTGGAGTGTGGGAAAAGCTTCAATCAGAGGGCAAACTTTACTAGACATCGAAGAATGCACACAGGGGATAAAGCATATAGCTGCCCTGACTGTGGGAAGAGCTTGTGTGATAAATCAAGCCTTCTTCAACATCAAAGAATCCACACAGGTGAAAAACCATTTAAATGCTCGGAATGTGGAAAGAGCTTTAACAAGAGCACCAACTTTGTAAGACATATGAGAATCCACACAGGGGAGAAGCCTTTTAGCTGCTCCTACTGTAGCAAGAATTTCTATGATAAAGCAAGCCTTATTCAGCATCAAAGGGTTCACACAGGGGAGAAACCATTTAAATGCTTGGAATGTGGAAGGAGGTTCAGTCACAGGGGAAGCCTTCGTGGACATCAAAGACTCCACACAGGGGAGAAACCCTACACATGCTCTCACTGTAGCAAGAGCTTCTTTGCTCTATCGAGCCTTCTGAAACATAAGACAACTCACACAGGGGAGAAGCCATATAAATGCACGGCATGTGGAAAGAGCACACACCTCAGCTCAGATCAAAGGACGCACCCAGAGAAGGAGCAGTATAAATGCTTAGACTGTAGCAAGACTTTTTGTGATCAGCCGGGTCTTGTGAGAACAGCCATGGAAGAAACAGTGTAAATGCTGTGGATTTTCCTAGTGAACTCCGGCCGTGAAAGCCTTCAACAAGAAACAGTGTAAATGCTTGGAATGTGGACGGAGCTCCAGTCACAGCAATAGGCCTTACTCCACTTGAAGGAATTGATATGTGGGGGAAGGGAGAATTCCCCTGTGAATGTTCCTAGACATTTACTACCAAGGTATCCAAAGTGTTATGAGAACAAAAACAGTAAACAGTCCGGGGGCAACTTAAAAATTAATCTGCTGTGGCATAAACAGTTATGGATTAGAGCTGATGTCATCAGATCCTTGTTTTCATTGGTCAGGATTTCTCCATGGAACTCCCTGCGTAGTGACTCTTTTGTTATTTTAGTTGCATGATTGCATTGAATGGTTTTAAGGGTTCAGAGGATTCTGTTTTATCTAAGCCAGGGGTCTCCATTGTGGTACTTATGGGCACCAGAGCACCCCACTGACACTTTTCTGGTCCTCCAAGTGTTTTTAGAAAGTGGTTGGGGCCAGCAGAGGTTCTGAACGGCCAGTGGAGACCTGCCAGATACTGCCAGATGAGTGTTTCTTAGCTAGTTCAATAGGTGTACTTGTGTGTGTGTGCTAGAAAATGCTTTTAAACAGTATGTTCATTTTTTAAAAAAGCATCCGGTTAAACAGAGCTTCTCCCAGAAACGCCGAAGAGCTACAATCACCGTTATACATTACCTCACTTCCTGACATATTCTGGTTGGCTCTGCCTCTGGCATTTTGTGGCTGCATCCACCGCCCTGGGTCGGATTTCCAGAAGTGTCCACTGACTCAAAAAAGGTTATGAATAAAATCAAATCGTTCTGGTTGGCTCTGCCTCTGGCAGCAGTTGTTTTGTGGCTGCATCCACCGCCCTGGGTTGGATTTCCAGAAGTGTCCACTGGCTCAAAAAAGGTTATGAATAAAATCAAATCTGCAAATGCTTGAAGCGCTTCAGTTAGACTGAACATCTAAATCCACATGAAATAGCCTAAGTGGGGGGAACTCGGTGGCCGTCGTAGGGGCAGAAAAGCAGGATACACATTTTGTAAATAAATAACAAATAAACCAACTCCGCCGCCATTCTCTGGATAATCAAAGTTCAGAAAGAAGAGGATAAATACAAAGACAAAAAGTGCATATTAAACACAGGTAACTCACAATGGGTAAATGTATTATCATAACTGGCAACATTTCACACAAAAAACTAACAAAATTTGTGGCAGGGCCGTGTGAGTCACTGCTCACTTCATCAGTGAAGTGAAGGTGGTACTGGACTCTTGCCTTCCTTTGCCACCCTCTGTTCTTAAAGCAGTGTGGGGAAACTCCTCCCCTGAGAACCTTGATGCCTGTGCAATTGACATGGGAGAAATCTTTGAGATCCCGGAGTCTCAGATGCCAGATCCTCCTGTGAGGGCAGGATGTCAGATCCCCTGGTGGGGGTCCCCTGCTTTCGGGCCCCACCTCTCCACCACTGGCCAGCTGGGCAGGACTTACCCCCCCCCCAAACAGGGAAGAATGCCAAAATTAAACATAATGTGCCTACATAACTCAGAAGGGGTGTAGCACATTGGGGACGGGGTGCAACACTCTGGTTTTTGGGCAAAACTCTATAGTAGAGGCTAATTTTACCATAGAGTTTTGCCTCCCCAACATGCCTACGTCACTTCCCAGTCATGTAGGCACCTTGCACTTATTTTCAGCAGTCCTCCCTGCTCCCAGTAAGTTAACATAAGAACATAAGAGAAGCCAATGTTGGATCAGGCCAGTGGCCCATCCAGTCCAACACTCTGTCACACAGTGGCCAAAAATACCAGGTGCCATCAGGAGGTCCACCAGTGGGGTCACCTCCCCATCCTCAGCCAGCAGGTCCAAGACTGTCTGAGAGTGTGTTTGCCTATAAAGCCTCAACCTGTTTTTGTTTTGTTTTTGTTTTTTTTTAAACCTGAGTGCAGAAAGGAGTTGGCAACCAAAATAGATTTAACCAAATGAGAGGTATATGTTCCTACCAAAACTTAGCAGCCATGTTTTAGAACAGTTTCTGGACTCTCTTCAAAGGTAACCTTATGACTGACTATAAAAAGATGTGCATGTCTGTCTGTGACAGGTATAATTTATCAGAAAATAAAGCAAGCAACCTCAAAATTGGCTACCAACTTCAGGATAACCATGGGAGTTGCAGTGTCAGAAAGGAAGGCAAACGAAGCATCCTGGCCCACATTCTGTTTGCGACCGAAACAGAAGCCTAAGAAGCACAGATAGGGAGCGTGGAATATATTCCTTCCTTTATGAAAGAAACAAGCCCTCAGGCAAGTTTGCCAGTTAAGAGGTCTTCCTGAGGATGAAGGGCCATGGATGAGTGGTATGTCATCTGCTTGGCATGCAGAAGGTCCCAGGTTCAATCTCCAGCATCTTCAGTTAAAAGGATCAGGCAACTAGTGATTTGAAAGACCTCAATCTGAGACCCGGAGAATTGCTCTCAGTCTGAGTAGACAATACTGACCTTGATGGACCAGTCTTCTGATTCAATATAAGGCAGCTTCAGTATAAGGCAGCTTCCTCATCAAAGGCTCCTAAGTAAGCTCAATAGTCACGGGATAAAAGGACAAGTCCTTTTGTGGATCAAAAACTGTCTGATTAATAGGAAACAGAGATTGAGTATAAATGGGCAATTTTTTCAGTGGAGGGTGGTAAGCAGTGGGGTACCGCAGGGATCAGTACTCAGTCCGATGCTTTTTAACTTGTTTATTAATGATTGAGTTGGGAGTAAGCAGTTAAGTGGCTAAATTTGCAGATGACATGAAGTTGTTCAAGGTGGTGACAACCAAGAGGATTGTGAGGCACTCCAAAGGGATCTGTCGAGGATGGGCGAGTGGCCATCAACATGGCAAATGGGGTTCAATGTGGCCAAGTGCGAAGTGATGTATACTGGAGCCAAAAATCCTAACTATAAATACACATTGATGGGGTCTGAACTGGCAGAGAATGACCAAGAGAGATCTTGGAGTCGTAGTAGATAACTTAATGAAAATGTCGAGACTGTGTGCAACTGCAATAAAAAAGGCCAACGATATGCTGGGGATTCTTAGGAAGGGTATTGAAAACAAATCAGCCAGTATCATGCCCCTGTATAAATCAATGGTGTGACCTCATTTGGAATACTGTGTATAGTTCTGGTCACCACACCTCAAAAAGGATATTATAGCATTGGAAAAAGTGCAGAAAAGGGCAACTAGAATGATAAAAGGGTTGGAACACTTTCCCCATGAAGAAAGGTTAAAGTGCTTGGGACGCTTTAGCTTGGAGAAACGACAGCTGACTGGTGACATGATCAAGGTCTGTAAGATTATGCATGGGATAGAGCAGGTAGAGAAAGAGGTACTTTTCTCCCTTTCTCAGAATACAAGAACTCATGGGCACTCCATGAAATTGCTGAGCTGTCGGGTTAGAACGGATAAGAGGAAGTACTTCTTCACCCAAAGAGTGATCAACACTTGGAATTCACTGCCACAGGAGGTGGTGGCGGCTACAAGCATGGACGGCTTCAAGGGGGAATTGGATAAACATATGGAGTCAAGATCTATCTGTGGCTATTAGCCACAAGGTATAGATAGGAACTCTCAGTCTGGGGCAAGTGATGCTCTGTATTCTTGGTGCTGGGGGGGCAACAGTGGGAGAGCTTCTAGTGCCCTGGCCCCACTGGTGGACCTCCCAATGACACCTGGTATTTTTGGCCACTGTGTGACAGAGTGTTGGACTGGATGGGCCATTGGCCTGATCCAACATTGGCTTCTCTTATGTTCTTATACCATAAGAACATAATAGACTTACTGGATCAGACCAGTGGTCCATCTACTCCAGCATCCCATCTCATTCAGTGACTAACCAGTTCCTCTGGAGGTCCAACAACAGGGCATTGTGGCCAAGGCCTTCCCCTGAGGTTGCCTCCTGACACCAGTATTTGGAGGCGTGTTTGTGTGCTGTCAGGTCACAGCTGACGTATGGCAACCCTGTAATGTTTTCAAGGCAAAAGACATTCAGAGGTGGTCTGCCATTGCCTTTCTCCACATCACGACCCTGGTATTCCTTGGAGGTCTCCCATTCAAATATTACCAAGGGCCGACCCTGCTTAGCTTCTGAGACATGACAAGGTCATGCTAGCCTGAACTATTCAGGTCAGGGCATGTAGAGGTTTACTGCCTCTGGATATGGAGGTTCCTTTTTGTCAGCCACTGATAGACCACTCCTCCATGAATCTGTCTAATCCCCTTTTAAAGCTGTCTATCCTCTGGAAGCAAATTCCACATTGCAATCACTCAGTTTAATAATTCAAGATAGAGTCAAGTGGGCCTCCATGTTGGTCTGAAGCAACAGAACAAAGTTGGATTCCAGTGGCCCCTTTAAGACCAACAAAGTTTAATTCTGGATATAAGCTTTTGAGAGCATGCACACGTCAGATCCAGTGGTTTTGTGGCACTCCCTGATTCCCCGCCCATGTACCCAGCCTACTTGGTTCCATCCCATAAAGCACTGAAGCATGGCTATTTTGCTGTCTTTCCCACACAGGCAGCATCTGGCTACTGAATTCTTTCCCACAGGTAACTCACATTCCTCTAGCCAAATGCGAAAAGCCTGAAGGCTGAATCTCTAGATATGCTCTTATACCTCACCTGCTCTGGCCAGAGGCTTTGGCCTGGCTGATAACCTGTTGGTGGGCAAAGCTTATGGTTTTATGGTGCCATTAAGGGGAAGGGCCTGTGTCTTGGTGAGCTCATGAGATTCCCACAGGACATTGGATGTGTGTCTTTTATTACCTTAAAGGTAAAGGTTCCCTTGCTCAAAAGCCAGTTGAGTCCGACTCTAGGGTTGTGGTGCTTATCTCCATTTCAGAAGAGCCAGCGCTGTCTGAAGACGTTTCCGTGGTCATGTGGCCGGCATGACTAAACACCAAGGCGCACGGAACGCTGTTACCTTCCCACCGAAGTGGTACCTATTGATCTACTTGCAATTTCTTGCTTTCGAACTGCTAGGTTGGCAGGAGCTGGAACTAGAGAGGGGAG